TATATTAATGTATCTTAAAATTATTTTAAAAATTATATTTAAGTATTGTTTCTAGGATATACAATACCATATTATAATCTGCGAGAGAGATCAAGCCAGCCAAATGATAAACATGTAATCAGTAAATGCATTCATTTGAAAATAATTTGTATTTTTCATCTTAGATACCTTGCTATTAAATACTTAAAAGGCATATATACGTTTTCATTTTTTTTGTGGTGACCCAAGATCCTGTTTTGGTACACACCTTAGTGAGACCTTCTGGTAAAACTTTTTAACAAGGGGCCTCCAAGCTTTATGTAGTTTAGGGCTTCACCAAGTCTAAATTCAGCACTGCCTCTAGGGGTAGCTGACATTAATATATTAAGGGATTGATTCAAGGCAATCAAATAAAATCATTCACGCAAAACTGTAGAATTCACTATTATAAAGTGTAGAAACGTCCTACACCAATTTTGGATTAAAAAAAAGAGATTAGATACATTCAGTGAAAGAAAGACAGTTTCAGAGATTACATCTCCTGAGACTATGGCGCTTGTGTCCAGCTTGTGGAATTGGCCACTGTGGGAACAGAATAGTGGACTGTATGGATCTTTGGTTTAATCTAGCTCCTCCTTTATGTTAATTTCAAATGGATGTACAACAAAACAATTCCAATCATAACAGACCAGTGATGGCGAACCTATGTCACGCATGTCAAAGGTGACACGCCACGACATTTTGGGTGATACACCAGCATTCACCAACACCCAACAACTATTCTCCTTGTTTGAGTTACCAAAAAACTGAGTTTGTTTTACTCATATTTCATTTTTGTAATTATTTGATGTTTCTTGATATAATACATAGCACCATACATGACTGGACTGTATTTTTTTTTAAAGAAATGAATATGTAAAAATTGTTTCTCTTTTGTTTAGGTGACACACCAGCAGAGTCAAATTAGGCATTTTCCAAATGTTTGACATACTGAGCCCAAAAGGTTCATCATCACTGTAATAGACCCAAGACACATTGCATCCTGAGGTGGTGCAAAACTCCCAAACTCAAAAGGCATGCTTAATCCCAAAGCCAGCCACATTACACAAGAGTCACTTGTTGAGATGGATGGCTATAGAAATCAAATAAATAAATAAGTCTGGCACTTAAGGCAGACAATCCCACTAACATCTCTCCCTTCCCTCCGATATTGAAATAACTAACAATTTGTTGCCGTTTCATGTCATCTGAAGTCAGCAGCCTGATTTCTTAATTTCTTTTTATACTGTACCCAGTTTCTGCAAGGGTTCAGTAAATTATTATGATTTCTGCTTGGCTCTGAACTGGATTAAGAGCCTGTGTACTGAGAAAGATATTACTGACACTCACCATATGTACTGGGAGAATCAGAATTATCCAACCCTTTTCTTTCTTTCTTTCTTTCTTTCTTTCTTTCTTTCTTTCTTTCTTTCTCCTATCATTTTGGGACAGTAAGATTATTAGGTCTCTTTAGGTTCATTCCTAGGACAGGACGTTGCCTGGTAAGGCCTGGGTATGTGAGGAGAGCCTTTCAAAGCAAAGTATAGAACCTAAAAATCTTCTGTGATTTGTTTAAATTGAAATACTATTTTGATTGTTTCTATCTCAGAATAGAATCCTCATCCTCATGCTTTTTTTGCCTGTGGATTAACTTCAGGTCTTCATTGTACATATAAATGAATGATTAGAGTCAGCCTTCCCCATTCTGGTGCCCTCCAAATGTGTTGGATTTCAGTTCCCATAGTCCTTAAACCGTCATGGTCAAAGGCTGGCTGTGAGAGTTGGAGAATTAAAATCCAGTAATCTGGATCTAGATTATATACTGTATTTGTTAAGTAGCTTGTCTCTGACCGAAAGAATTCAGAAAAGGCAAGATTTCATCACTGCAACTATACAAGGGAGAAATTATAACTGTGGAATATTCTCCTTATTTTGGAAATCCAGCCTCTATAACTAGCATTTGTTATTTCCCCTACAAATCTGGGGGACCAGTGACCCTCCAGGCATTGCTGAGTGTCAACTCCCAGGATTGCTTACCTGTGGCCATGATGGTTGGGGTTGCTGGGACTTGTCACTCAGCAACATCTGGAGGGTCATTGGTCCTCCACGCTAATATAATAATACATATCTACTGTATTATGATCTTTAAAAATGAATTACAGCAGGGACAGCATAAGATCTTGAATAGGAAGACCTTTTTAATTCTCCATGGGAAGGGGGAATAGCAGCAGAATGTAATTTCATGGCTTCTGTGTCATTACATACCAGTCTCATGGAACATCAGTGCATGTTTAAAAGATACAGGCTTCATGAGCTTGTAATGTTTCAGTACATTACAAAAAAGAAGTAAACAGCCAGTAGTTCTGAAAAATCACTTCTACATACAGTACAAAAGGTAAATGTCCTCTTCCAGCATTCACCGAATAAGCTGATTTCAAATTGTTGTATTTTAAAAAAGAACATGTTTGGGCATGAGAGGCTAAAGAAGCTGCATCCTGCCTATGTTTACTACTTCTGAGCTAATAAACATTTACTCAGAAGTATACGGTGTAGTACTACACTGTGGTCACAGTTATTGTACATGAGCTGCATTTACTGTGTTGTGCTATCATTCGCCCTTTGCAACTGAAAACAGGACTAGATTTGATTCAAACCTGATTGCTACCTTGTTTCTGGAAGTGTGCCTGCATATTTACCAGCTGTGTGATAGACAGCAGTTCAACAGATGCAGCAGCTTCTTCCCATCATTGCCTTTCTATTGAACAAGGGTATCCCATTCCTTCCTATTATGCTTTTTGAGACATTTTGAG